TTCATTCATTTGTCTTTGATTACTATATGGGCATCATGTAGAAAAGTATTTGGTTAGATCCAAAGTGTAGTTTAAATTCTTTTTGAAGTATGGCTGTATTCCCTCCAAAGTATAGATAAATTATCTGGGCAAATATTTCATGTAAAATATGTTCCATCTTTTGACTTGATATACTGGATGCCTGAGCTTTACAGTGCACACTCCCTCCAGGGACTAGCAAGCTTTGGGAATAGGTATTCAGCTATTCTAGTATGCTTTGGGCTCCGTGGAGAAAATGGCTTTTATTCCCTTTCACCCTCTGCCCTCATCACCTTATTTCTGACTATAAAGGAGGTAAGACTTAGGCTAGGAGGAAGGGTCCCTCAACTGATCTAATAAACTCTAGAGGGTTAAAAAAATGTGTGTGATCTGGCTTCTTTTATCTTTAGTGACTTAATGATAACCACTTAATGTGATTTAATGATCTTAAACCACAGTTGGATGTGCTACTTGCATACATTATGAACTACAGGTGACTTTAAAAAATAACTGGATCTGCTTTTTAATTAATTACAACGTAAGGGCATTAAACCAATTATTAAAAAATCAAGGCCATCTGTTGTGGTAGATGCCTTTAGCCTCTAATTGCTTCATAGTTAATATTCTGATACTTCAAGTAACCTCATTAAATTTATAGGTTTCATTTTCTAAGTAATATATTTGGCAGCTAGAGTAGAAAGTTACACAGTTCAAAGTTCTTTTCTCTTACGTGAGAAAAAGAATTTGCTCTTACATGATTGAAGGTTTGCCTTGTGATGTGTAATTGTGTCTTCTTTACTGATAATTTACTGGTGAATCAAAATGAAGTCTAAATTACTTTAGGAAGAAAGTTTTGGCCTTGCTTGGAGTCTTTCCCTTGCCTCATTTCTGAGAACTGGGGGTGCAGCCTTCTCTTCAGGAGAGAATCCTCTTCAAGCTCTTCACAGAATGATGTCAATCCTGTCCCCCTTCCCCCCAACCTGTCTCAGGGTTGAGATGGATTTTACATCTTGAGCTAATTACCTCTCAAAAGTAAGAGGAAGCAAAATTCATGGAGTATTGCCTAAAGGTGATGTTCCCTCTCCATGTATAAACACTGGGAAAAACGTGATATATAAGTAATAATTGACAGAGTCCTTACTACTTTCTGCATATTGTTCTCAGTACATTACATATTAGTTCACTTAACCCTCACATCAACACTGGAAGTGGAGTTTTATTTGTTACCTTTGTTTTACAGATGAGGAAACTGATGCAAATAGAGTTTTAGTAACTCACTCAAAGTAGAGGCAGGATATAAACCCAGCAATATGACTCTATGGTCTGGGCTGTCAGCCACTGTGCAATCAGTGTTCCATATCACTCATGAAGGAAGTGAATAGAGGACAGCTCTTCGGGAAACATAGAGGAAAGTAGTTCAGTGACAGAGAGAATTTTAAGAAGGAAGGAGAGACCAAAGGTGTCCATGCCACAGAAATGTCATGGAAGACAAGAACTAGAATGTGTCCAGTAGGCTTGAGGACAGCTGCAATTTTAGCAACAACAGAATTCATGGAATAGGGAGAAATAGAAGCCAGATTATGTTTGGTTCGGAAAAAGTTGAGTATTAAGTAATTGGCGAGTGGCAAGCTTTACTGTGAAAAGTGACTCTCTCTTTAAGGTAGGTTTTAAAGTAGCGGCCAGGTTTTCATCCATCAGGGAATTAGAGATTTCTAAGTTGACTAGCAGGATGTCTAATCAGCATCTCAACTATTTGTGGTGAAAGGCCAGTTAAAAAAAATTCTAGTATACTGTAACCAATATACATTGCTAAAACCCAATAAAAATGAATTACTAGAAATGTGATCAAGTGCTGGGATGTCATAGCCATGTCAAAATTCTATAAAAGTTACTTATTGTTTATTCTCAATTTTGGTACTTGCCTCTTTGCAGAGCTCTAGCAAATGGCTCCTGGACCAGGACTCCAATACTGCTTTGCAGACTAACTTGAGGGTCCCTTTCAGATCAATGATGAGTTGTGAATAATCTCAAGTCCTTGGTCTTTTCAACAAGCTGATATTTCCTCTCTCTTTTTTATACCTTTTTTTGGTATAAGTGAGTTTTTATCACTCTTGTATGTCTTAGAACCTTATTTTGAAAAGTCTCTTGTGGTTGAGCTCTTACTCTGCTTTTTTACACAAAGTTTTACTTTTCTTTCTTCTTTTGTTTTCTTGTTTACTTTTTTTTAAATTGTACTTTAAGTTCTGGGGTACATGTACACAATGTGTAGGTTTGTTACATAGGTGTAAATATGCCATGTTGATTTGCTACTCCCATCGACTCATCATTTACATATCCCTCCCCCAACCTACCACCCACTGACAGGCCCTGGTGTGTGATGTTCCCCTTCCTGTGTCCGTGTATTCTCATTGTTCAACTCCCAATTATAAGTGAGAACATGCAGTGTTTGGTTTTCTCGTCTTGTGTTACTTTGCTGAGAATGATGGTTTCCAGCTTCATCTATGTTCCTGCAAAGGACATGAATCCATCCTTTATCATGGCTGCATAGTATTCCATGGTATATATATGCCACATTTTCTTTATCTAATCTATTATTGTTGGGCATTTGGGTTGGTCTTTGCTATTGTGAACAGTGCTACAATAAACATACGTGTGCATGGGTCTTTAGAGTACAATGATTTATAATCCTTTGGGTATATACCCAGTAATGGTATTGCTGGGTCAAATGGTATTTCTGGTTCTAGATCCTTGAGGAATCACCACACTGTCTTCCACAATGGTTGAACTAATTTATACTCCCACCAACAGTGTAAAAGCATTCCTATTTCTCCACGTCCTCTCCAGCATCTCTTGTTTCCTGACTTTTTAATGATCAGCATTCTAAATGGCATAAGATGATACCTCATTGTGGTTTTGATTTGCATTTATCTAAACACCAGTGATGATGAGCATTTTTTCATGTGTCTGTTGGCTATATGAATGTCTTCTTTTGAGAAATGTCTGTTCATATCCTTTGCCCACTTTTTAATGGGGTTGTTTATTTTTTTCTTGTAAATTTGTTTGAGTTCTTTGTAGGTTCTGGATATTAGCCCTTTGTCAGATGGACAGATTGCAAAAATTTTCTCCCATTCTGTAAGTTGCCTGTTCACTCTGATGATAGTTTCTTTTGCTGTGCAGAAGTTCTTTAGTTTAATTAGATCCCATTTGTCTATTTTGACTTTTGTTGCCATGCTTTTGGTGTTTTAGTCATGAAGTCTTTGCCCATGCCTATGTCTTGTATGGTATTGTCTAGATTTTCTTCTAGGGTTTTTATGGTTTTAGGTCTTAGGTTTAAGTCTTTAATCCATCTTGAGTTAATTTTGGTATAAAGTGGAAGGAAGGGATCCAGTCTCAGCTTTCTGCATATGGCTAGCCAGTTTTCCCAGCACCATTTATTAAATAGGGAATCCTTTCCCCATTGCTTGTTTTTGTCAGGTTTGTCAAAGATCAGATGGTTGTATATGTGTGGTGTTATTTCTGAGGCCTCTGTTCTGTTCCATTGGTCTATATATCTGTTTTGGTACCAGTACCATGCTGTTTAGGTTACTGTAAACTTGGAGTATAGTTTGAAGTCAGGTAGTATGATACCTCCAGCTAGCTAGACTAATAAAGATAAAAGAGAGAATAATCAAATAGATGCAATAAAAAATGATAAAAGGGATAGCACCATCGATCCCACAGAAATACAAACTATCATCAGAGAATACTATAAACACCTCTATGCAAATAAACTAGAAAATCTCAAAGAAATGTATAAATTCCTGGACACATACACCCTCCCAAGACTAAACCAGGAAGAAGTCAAATCTCTGAATAGACCAATAACAAGTTCTGAAATTGAGGCAGTAATTAATAGCCTACCAACCAAAAAGAGTCCAGGACCAGATGGATTCACAGCCGAATTCTATCAGAGGTACAAAGAGGAACTGGTACCATTCCTTCTGAAACTATTCCAATCAATAGAAAGAAAGGGAATCCTCCCTAACTCATTTTATGAGGCCAGCATCATCCTGATACCAAAACCTGGCAGACACACACACACACACACACACACACACACACACAAATTTTTAGGCCACTATTCCTGATGAACATTGATGTGACAATCCTCAATAAAATACTGGCAAACTGAATCCAGCAGCACATCAAAAAACTTATCCACCATGATCAAGTTGGCTTCATTCCTGGGATGCAAGGCTGGTTCAACATACGCAAATCAGTAAATGACAAAAACCAAGTGTTATTTTTCTAATTTGTATTTTATCCTGTTGTTGTGGCCTTCTTTTCTATTTTATGCTTTAACATATTTTCATCTCTATACAGGGATCTGGGATTTGGGGTAAGAGGCAGTGGGAGGATTTTTTTTTTTTTTTTTTTTTTTTTTTGAGATGGAGTCTTGCTCTGTCACCTAGGCTGGAGTGCATTGGTGTGACCTCCACACACTGCAACTTCCGCCTCCCAGATTCAAGCAATTCTCCTGCCTTAGCCTCCCGAGTAGCTGGGATTACAGGCACCTGCCACCACACCCAGCTAATTTTTGTATTTTTAGTAGAGATGGGGTTTCCCCATGTTGGCTAGGCTGGTCTCGAACTCCTGACCTCAGGTGATCCACCTGCCTCAGCCTTCCAAAGTGCTGGGATTGCAGGTATGAGCCACCGCACCCAGCCAGTGGGAGCATTTTAACCCAGCCAACAGGAGTATTATATCACTGACATTATCTAGAATTGCTGACACATTGTAATAACAAAAAACAGATCAACTTTTGGTTGGGTTTACCTTTTTACATTCTCTGCAGACAATGCACCTCTGTACCTGGGATGAATTGCTTCTATTGCCCCCTTGGTATGCCACTGGCGTTAATTTAAAATTAAGACTAAAAGTGCTTCAAATTTCGGTATAGTAAGTTGCTAATTAAAATATATCATTATCTTCATATTTTGTAGGCCAGTGGCTACTTCTCAAAAGCTTTAAAATTTGATCCAGAAAATGAATATATTCTCATGAATCGAGCTATTACAAATACAATATTAAAGAAATACGAAGAAGCAAAAGGAGATTTTGCAAATGTAATTGAAAGCTGTCCATTTTGGGCTGCAGTATATTTTAATAGAGCACATTTCTACTACTGCTTAAAGCAATATGAACTAGCTGAGGAAGACCTTAATAAAGGTATACTTTTGGTAATTATTTTGGTAAGATTGCAGTGGTTGATGTGATTATTTTTAGACTACAAAAGAAGAAAATCATTAGGTCTATTTATTTAGATAAAGTTACATAAGAATTAGTGGTTTTAGATATCATGTCCTTGATATAATCGATATAGATTCCTTTATGTAATATCTTAACTTAAAGCTCTAGTAAACTGAGATATAGAGAATTATTACAAAACTATACACAAACAATGCCAACCTTTCGAAGAAAGACATTGTACTGTGTTTCCCCAAGTTAGTTTGCTTAGAAAGATTCAATATTTTTAATTTAACTAAATAGTTCTGTTTGAAGAAAAATATTTTCAAATAAAAAGTATTAAAGTTCTTGATTTCATCCATTGAGTTACTTTTTAAAAAAATTTATTATACAATTTTTGTTTGTAAGGAAATGAGACTATTTTTTGAGTGCTAGCTTAAACATATCTTGATTTTCTTTTTCTTTTGCAGCCCTGTCTTTGAAGCCTAATGATGCTCTAGTATATAATTTTAGAGCAAAAGTTCGTTGTAAAATAGGTCTGATTGAGGAAGCTATGGCTGACTATAACCAAGCACTTCATCTTGAAGACCATAACTCAGTTATATGATTACATAGACCGTGGTTGCTAGAGTAATTTACACAACTGTTCTCTCTGAAACTGAAACATATTTGTTGTCTAAAAGGTTCCACCATTTTCATTATTGTATTCATTATGCTTAGTCTTCCATATAACCTTCTATGCATTTTAATAAAATGTTTGTTATACATTAATTATAAAATTTATGTCATTTTCTGCATATTTGGAATACCTTGATAATTGAATTTTTTCAAGGCTGCAAAATTTAAAGGAAAATGTTTCTTAAGGAATTAAATAGGAATGTTTCTTAACATTTAAAATATTTTCTTTAAAGTAATTCTTTTTGAAATAATACTATATATTGTAGAAAAAATGTCATCGACCTTTTCATCAATCCTTGCTGATAATGTATTCAACAGTATACAGATTAAAAAAAATAAACAGAACTGATGACTATAAAAAACTGAACTCAAGTAAAACCCTTCTCTTTTCCTTTAAACAGTGTGTATACAGGTTAATAGTCTTCCTAATACCTATATTCTTCCAATAGACAAATGTGTTTCTCTTTTACATGTGGCCTGCCTTCTAGGACAGCACCTATAAAGATTTTGGACATCATGTTTCCTTGAGATAGTTCCCTCTGCCTCTTTAATGCAGCTATCATAGATACATATAAAATCTGTATATATTTATAATTCTTGCATTGCAGGAGTTGATGAGTGAAAATAAAACAACTAAAAACTATTTATAGAGTGTCTCTGAGGAATCTTTGAATGAACCAGAGAACTCTTTCCCTTTGCCTCACTGATAACAGCAAGACTTCTTAACTTTTTTTTTTTTTTTGAGACGGAGTCTCACTATTGCCCAGACTGGAGTGCAGTGGCGTGATCCTGGCTCACTGCAACCTCCACCTCCCAGGTTCAAGTGATTCTCCTGCCTCAGCCTTCTGAGTAGCTGGGATTACAGGCGTGTGCCACCACACCCAGCTAACTTTGTATATTTAGTAGAGATGGGGTTTCACCATGTTAGCCAGGCTGATCTCGAACTCCCGACCTTGGGTGATTGGCCCGCCTCCGCCTCCCAAAGTGCTGGGATTATAGGCATGAGGCATTGCTCCAGGCCTGGCTTCCTAACTTTAAATTTGCTCATATTTGCCTCATTTGGGTTGTTTCCCTTCTTGGTTTTATTCTTCCAGTACATCTCCATCTCCTCAGAGACCTGTGTTCACTGTAAGCAGACATTTGGAAAGAATACTTCTCTCCACTCAGCTTTCTTTGTTTTTAGTTTGATGTACCAGATTTTCATAATAGGATGTTGACTTTTATTTAATTAGTCAATTAAGTAATTCTTTTTAAGAGGCAGGATCTTTCTGTCACCCAGGCTGGAATGCAGTGGCGTGATCATAGCTCACTGTAGCCTTGATCTCCTTAGCTCAAGTGACCACCCTGCTTCAGCCTCCCAAGTAGCTAGGACTACAGGCATGCAACACCATGCTTGGCTAAATTTTTATTTTTTGTGGAGGCGGGGTCTTGCTATATTGCCAGGCTTGTCTCGAACTGCTGGACTCAAGTGATTCTCCCATCTTGGCTTCCCAAAGTGTTGGGATTACAGGCATGAGCCACTGTGCTTAGCCAGAATGTTGATTTTCATTTGTAAGCCACCATGGGATGCTTCACACTATTTCAGGAAAATTTTCTTGGTATGATGTGTGGGTCCATGTGAGGATTGGGTCATCCCTGGTGAGTTATTTTACTTGGTAAATCAGACAAATTTAATAAGCTGCTTCATAACCTCTTTCTCTCACTTATCTTCATGCCTTTTCATCTCTGCCCCAGCCACAGATGAGATTCAGACAAACCACATGCAGCCACAGACAGCCCCTGCCTCCTGCCTATGCCGCAAGTCACTCACCGACTGCCCTGGGGCTTCTCTGTTGAAAGAGGTGATAGAGGCTGTGGGATTCTCAGTGCCTGCCCCTATGCGCTGTGGACGTGCAGGGGACAGTTCCTGTCTGATGAACCTTTTTGGTGATGGGAGAAATGAACTGGTAGATAAATTCTAACCTCTTCCGTCTCTTCTTGGTGGAGTGTTCTGAGACACTGAGTGTACACGGCTCCGTGGAGGATAGTCCTGAGTGATTATGCAATCAGTTGTACTTACTGGTGGCCACTTTCAAATCACACCTCATGCTGGTGCTTCTGTCTTCCTTGCCTCACCCTCCCTTCTCAGCGTCCCTGCTTTCCTGGGATTGTACTTCTCGATAAAGTAGTAACACAGAAGCATTTGCCTTGGGGTCTACTTTCTGGTGGGAGCCCAGGCTGAGACAGTTAGTAATTTAATATTTTTTTCTAATTGTACACAAATCCTTGTAACACAAGGCAGGATGTGATAACTATTGGGGAAATGATACAATCCAAGGGTCATGCGAGCAGAGTAGGACAAAACATGTCTAACTTTTCAAAATGCCGTATGTCCCCTGGCTCATATCCCCTTGGCACCCACAGTTTCTGCATGCACTGACAGAATCCTATTGCAAGCATCCGTGATTTTCCACGGGAGGCATTTCTTTCTCTCAGCCCGTGCCCAGGCCAGGCCTTCTGAAGAGGAGCTGATGACACTAGGAGGAACCTTCAGCTAATGACAGAAGGGAATTAAAGGATAAACTCCCTTGTCTCTTGAAGGGATAGCTCTCCCTGACTTCCCCAGTGGGATTAAACCCCAGTGACCTGCCATATAATTTTTTCTGTGGCCACACCTTTTGTTGGCTTTTTCCCTTCCCTGTCTTACCTCCCTCTCCCCTGGCAAAGACAAAAGCATGCTAGGATCTCCTCCCAAGTAAACTACTTGCACTTAAATAAATAAAACCTGTCTCAGGATCTAAGATGGCAGCATCGAGGAAGAAGCATTTAAGCTGGTCCTGAGCAGGAGAAAATGCCCATGGGCAGAGGTGTTGAATAGTAAGACTCTCCATACAGACTGAATGTCAGGACAGAGATACAGCAGTGAGAAAATAAAGAAGCATATTTTGGAAAGGGGCTGGAGCAGAGTTTTTGTGAGTAAATGATAGAAGGAAAATAAGGCTCTGTAGTCAGAAGGAGATAGAGAAAGAGGGTTTTTTTTTTCTTAGTCATTTTTTCTCCCTCAGTCTTCACATTAGTAGACTGCGGATATTTTAGCCTCGCCAATAAAATTGGACATATGAAAATTGATCAGTACTCTACAGAAAAAGGTTTACCTTGTCCTGTATGTGCTCCAACTGTATGTGGTATAGATTCCAACTCTGACAGTTGGAAGATGCAGGGCAGATAAAGGGAAGGATAGCATGATGAAGGAAGGATTGAGAGGATGGAGAACACGGAAGAAAGTAACTTCAGGAGGTCATAGGATGTAAATGAGGTACTCATGCCCCAAGGGAAAAGGAAAAAGGGAAAAGGAAAAAAGCTTTCATCTTTTCTAATTAACTTTGCTTGGTTTTGATCGCTTCAGAAGGTTCCCTGAGTCTACATGCTTCTCACTGTTGTAGGACTTACTGGTTGGGTTTAATTTATTTATAATAAGTACACAAACACACACACAGGACTTCTTCTGATGATTATCTCTGGGAGATAAAATTGGAGGGAGAAAGGAGAAAGGGAGCAGAAGATTTTTCACTTTGTTTTATTAAAATTTTTTTACACATCAAGATGAAAGAAGAGTGGTGGAATTATAGATGACTTTTTCAATTTTATGCACTTCTGTATTTTTTTTTAGTTTTTTTTTTGTTAATTTATGTATTTTTTTAACTAGAATATAAGCTTTATAAAGACAGGAATTTTGTCTTTTTTGTTAAGTGCTGTATCTCCAATGCCTGTAGTGCCTGGCAGCTAATTTATGCTCATAACATATTTGTTAAATAATACACAAATTACAACTACCAGGGATCACCATTATTGTATAGATATTGTGGTGTGAATTATTTGCTTGTCATATGCCCTTCAGACATCTTGCATTCCTTCCATAAGACAGATACTGAAAGCTAAAAGTTTTGCCTCCCAAATGTCATTGCAGCCAGCAGAGTTCCAGATGTGATTTAGTTTCTGCCAGTTTGATGCAATCTGATGAGGCTGAATTGAGGCAGTATCATCCAAAGCACCCTTCTGCTCATGCTAAAATAGTTGGCTAGAGTAGAATTGTTAGATTTAGCAAATACAAATATAGAATAACTGTAGTATGGTTTGGATTTGTCCCCTCCAAATCTTATGTTGAAATGTGATCTCCAATGTTGGAGGGTGGGGCCTGGTGGGAGGTGATTGGATCTTGGGTATAGATCCCTCATGAAGGGTTTCATGCCACCTTTTTGGTGATAAGTGAGTTCTACCTCAGTTAGTTTACTGGAGAGTTGGTTGTTTAAAATAATCTGGCTCCTCCTTCTCCCTTTCTTGTTCCTGCTCTCACCATGTGCCTGCTCGGGTTTCACCTTCCCTCATGATTGTAAGTTTCCTGAGGCCCTCACTAGAAGCTGAGCAAATGTTGGCACCCTGCTTGTAAAGCCTGCAGAACTGTGGGCTGATTAAATCTCCTTATAAGTTATCCAGTATCAGGCATTCTTTGTAATAAAACAAAAAGCTGACTAATAAAATCTGGTTAAATTAGAATTTCAGATAAATTATTAATAATTCAGGGCTCCCAGTTAAACACAGGTCACTCAAATTTGAATTTCAAATCAATAAGTTTTTTTAGTATAAGTATATCCTATTATATGGGATATACTTATACTAAAATTATTCCGAAATTTAGTTTCAGAAAAACATTTTCAAAAGAAAATGTTGTTGATCAGAAATTCAAATTCAAACAGGCATCCTGTGTCTTATCTGGCAGTCCTGCTCTGGAACCAGCCATCTGGCCATGGCTTCTGACCCTAGATGGATCGTATGTTTCCCTAGAATCTACAGTTGCTGTGCCCATTTCTTTATTTTCAGGCTTCCTCTCTGGCAGAGCAGCATCTCCCCCAGTTTGGCCAGTCTTGTGTTGCTCTTCTGGGGGCCAAGCCCAGACCCTGCTTCTCCAGACTTTCCAATGATGTGAGCACCCATGTCCTTGTAGGAAACCCCTTTCTTTGTAAAAGAACTAGATTGCCTTTGTTATCTATAACTGAACTCCTACTGATACTTTTCTGTTCCCAAGATTTTTTTTTCTAATTTAGAGCTTTATTTTTCATTTGACATGGATGGGAGTCTCTTCTCTGCAATGAGGCATTTCTATAGTTTGGTCACGGGCAGAAGAATGTAATTAGAACTAAAAACTAATAATCACAATATTTAGCACTTAGAGGTATAGCCTTCCATGCCTCACCTATGTTGCCTCTACTTTCTCTGTAGCCTTGTAAGGTAGGTAGGTATCATTAGATGAGGAGACTGAGACTCAGAAGGATTGAGTTGTATGATTGGGGTCACATAGCTAGTGAGTGGTGGGGTTGAGGTTGAA